ACAAATTAGTATTTTGAGTGTGATTGCATTGAATTTATAGATCATTTTGGAGATAATCATTATCATTAGAATAAAGGATGAACAACTACATTTATTATAGGTATTAATATATTTTGTTGCCATTTTGAATTTAACCTTATTTCTATTTTATTTTAGTTTCCCATCAGTTTTTGTTGCTTTGTAAAACATTATTTTTATGTCGCCCCTGTGAAACTCTGTTGATCTTGTGCTTTATAGTTAATTGAGAATATCATCTGCAATAAATAAATAAATAATACATTCCAGATTCCAGAATTGTCCTTTTCCCCCCAATCCCTCTACCTTTTCTGTTTGATCTATATTAGCTAAGACCTCAATTATGCTACACTATTCTGCAGTAGTTTTCATCTATCTTGAGCGTCCTTGTGTTGTTACCATTCTTCACAGCTTTGGACCTCTTTTCTTAATTCTCTCTGCTTTACATCACAGTTTTATCATGTCTGAGGCCATTTAGAGCTGAGCAAAAACCACATGGAAGAAGTTTTCTTTCTCCGACTATGCAGTCTCTCTTAATCTGTCTCTAGTGAGAAGCTGCAATTCTTTCACCTAGGTGTCGTATCCTTTGCATCTCTGAGTCCCATATCTAATAACAATTACCTCATGTCTCACTCATATGACATACTTTTTGCACTTTATCAATCTCTTAGCACCCTAGTAGTTTTTCGTTTTGGTTTGGTTAATTCTATCTGGAAGAGCGTGTCAGTTTTTCCTAAGCCATGTCAGAAACTATTTCCAAATTGTGTGGTGTTCTGTCATTTTTTGGTCCATTTTTAACTACCTAAAGGTTTAATGATCAAAGGACAGAATAGGACATGGAAAGTCCTCATTATACAATATATACAGTGAATCAACAAACTGTACCCCATAAACATGTACAATGAAAAACATAAATTAAATTAAAAAATAAAACTATTCTAAAAAAATAAATAAATAGAAAAAAAGAAAAGTTCTCTTTAAAGCCCTGACATTCATCCTTTGATTCTTCACTCATATTGGGCATACTCGTTTCAAAAAAACAAAAAATCCTTAATGCATTCATTTCCCTATATGTGTATCTTCATTATTAGATCTTGAATTCAAAGAGCATTTCTTGTTGCATCTATAACCTCGGCATTAAAAAAAAATGTCTGCCAGATGATGTTCAAGAAATGTTTATTGAATAAATAAATAAATGGATGGGTTAATGTGAGAGCCATCTAGAACCTGCTAGGACATCTTTATTGGCAAACTGTAACAATTTTAAGGTACCCTTACATTTTGTATTGCCTAAAGTTTTACGCATCATATATGCTAACTTCCTGGGCATGTAGCATCCTATGTCTCAGTCCACAACTCCAACTGAAACAAAACTGTCATTTTTCCCTCTTGAAGCTAAAACCAGCCCTGTCTTTTTCCCTTGAATATCCAGGATTGGCCATCCGTCCATGCTCCTGACCCTGAAAGAGTCATGAATACTCATGCTTGCCATTTTTCAAAAAAGGAAGATATTGCTGTTCAACCTAAAGTGTAATACATACAAGTAATGCTGAAATTCAAGCCTGCTGCTCAAGCTCCCAGGGAAATTGCCTTTTTAATGCCTTTCAAATCCTAATATGTGTGATAGAAATATCCCAATACTATTTAAACAACTCCTACCCCCCACCTTTATCATTTTCTTTCTTGTCTTCCTATAATGTCATAAGGAGAATTTCTTCTAAAAGCTCAAATTCTTTGAGCACTTACAAAGAAATACTCCACATTCATAGCAGATGTATGACCTGTGGGCCATTAGAATTTATGTGAGAGGCCTGACAATGAATAATATTACCACAAGATTAAAGAAAATATCATGATAAATTCTGAATTTACCCTCCAGTAGCTTAGCTGATTGATTGGGAAAAATTGCTATACTCAGGATATAATGCAACTGTCTTGTGGGTCTTTTTCCTTGAAATCACATCCTCATATGTGGAAACGCTGAGTTTTTCAGCTTGCTAATCCTGGGAGGTTATTTTCAGAGTGCTTTTAGGAAATAATAGAACATCCCTCTCATTAATATGCCAGTGAGAAACCAAGACCGTTTCTGTATTCTCCTGCTACCTTTGCTTTAGTTCCCATGACAATGATCTAGTCTTCTACAAGGGTACTTCAAAAAGTTTGTGTGTGGAGTATACTATAAAGCAAATATATTTCACAGGCCTAGTTTCTTGTACTTTCAGGTTTTGTCTAACTTCTTAAAAGTACATATAAAATGTTCACCTTGCAAAAAACAGGAAATTTTCCCCAGGCTATACAGTCTCTCCTCTAACATAAAGAATTGTAACACAGCAGGGCTGCTGGTTCAAAGACAGACAAGTTACTGATTGATATGTAAAGATACTTGGAAACTGTTCTAGGGAGAAGAAATGTTTCCTAAAATCAGGCTTTTGTGGGTGGATCACTTAAATTGCCTTAGGGGATGTCATTTTGCTTGTTTTACTAAATGTTACCAGCTAATATTGTTAAACTATAACCCCACCTATGTTCTCTTCCTGTAACTTCCTGGTCTGGAGAATAAATGCAGGAAGAGAACCCCAATTCATGGTTAATTTCCCAGATGGAAAGAATGTCTCGCTCTTGAGAATTCCAGGAGATTAACCACTTTGGGGCTTCTCACTCCTCAGAAGAGATGGGCTTTGAGTAATCCTTTGCGGCTCCGTCACTCAGGGGAAGAAGGGTCACAAATCTGTAAGGGGAAAAGCAACATTTGTGGAAAAATAGAATTGAAATATAATATGACTCTTTCCATGAACTTTTTGAAGAAACCTCGTATTTGTTTTCATCACTACACCATCTTTTGCTGTGTCTTTACACTCAACTATACTTTTCTTTATTCATGACACAAACAAGCAGAAAAGTCCTCTGTGTTTATAGTTTGTGCAATAATCTATCAAACCAAAAAAAGTAGATAAAAGTGTTAAACATAAATTACAAAATTCAATCATTGCAACAAAGCTTCTACTTTTAGATTTGCTTATGCATGTAGATAGAATTAGACAAATAAATAACGACTGGAGATTTAAAAGGGAAATGTGGTAAATTTAAAACATACAGTCAATAAGATTTTGGAAATTGATTTCTATCTGACTGGAAGAAGAGGTTTTGATATGTGGGGTAAGAGAACTGATGGAGCCCAGCAGTATGCCTTTCTTGCTTTGGCATACACTAGTCCTGGAGCTACCAGTTGTAAAATGAATTCTGTTTCTTTTACCAGGCAGCATTGTATCCCAGCTAAAAATATTGGTATTTACAAGGTACAGACCTGGTTTAAGAATGTTTAAGAATGACATCTTCTCCACGAACCTGAAAAATTTACCCTACCATTCTGACCAGCAGCTCTCTCACCTGTAAAAGGTAGATATTGCTACCTGCATTTAAGTATAAATAATCTGAGGGTATTATTGTGATGGAGAAATAAAGCACTAAGTATAAATTTTACAGCAGAATGCCCAAAGCACAGTAGAAGAAAACAAACAAAAGTCTGACTACTTTGAAGTTAAACAAACATGGTGTGAAATTCAACTAATTTGAAGATAAATAAAAATAGTGTTTAAATATTTAGCATAGTATGAGTAAATACAGATTTTGCATGTCTTCTCCCTGCCCAACAATGGAAAGGACACAGAAAAGCCCATGGGTTTCTTATTTTTTGGTGGAAAAATATGTGTGTGTATGTAGATAAATAAGTGTGTGTGTATGTATATATACATTCATATATGCATACATATACATACATAAATATGATAAATATATGATCTCTCTCTCTCTCTCTCTCTCTCACACACACACACACACACACACACACACACACACACACACACACACACACACTCGTATTTCTACAGGGAAACAGAAACCAAAAACTAACTACGAAAAGGTTGCAAATATTCAAGAGAGCACCTCAAATTACTCAACCTTTATTTTTTGGTTATTTTTTAAGAGTAAAGCAGGTCATTTTTTTTTTACATTCTCATGGAATTATGGAAGTCCCTTAAGGAGACATGGTAAAAATGTTTATTGGTATAAAGAAATTAAGGTATAGTCTGGAGACAAGTTCATAGATTTGATGTGATTATAGTCTTACTTTTATGTAAATTTCTATGTAAATATCCTACTTAATTTCCTACTAGATTTTTTTTAGGTTTTTTTTTTATTATTTTACTTTATTTGCTTGGGTATGGAACTTTTCAGAAATTTACTTCTTCTGTGAAGCCTCTGTTACAACCAGGATGCTCCATTGATGATTTGAACATCAAATCCTTAATATGTAGAAAGAAAAATCAGCCTTATATTTTTCCAAGAGGTCTCATGTAGATTAATTTAATGTTGATTATAATTTTTTTTCATTAAGTGTTATCCATTCATTCAATATATATGTAGTATGTGCCTAATCCATAAAACACATGTTGTGAGATAGTGGTTCAATAAATATATAATTTTAGAAATAATATTTTAATTTAAGAAATAGGTGTCAACAAATATAACTACATTGTAATATGATGATTTCTTGTTATTGGTCCAAGTATTCAAAGATTACAGTGGGAGTGTTTTACATTTCAGAAAAATTTTAGGCTGACTATAAAAAAGCTCAGTTACTTACCATTAATAATAATGTTTTGTCTACTTTATTTTAACACTGCTAAAAGGGGAGAATAAAAAAATTTAATATTTCCTCCTTAGCTGATAAGAAATGATAAATATTTGAGATGATGGTATGCTAATTAGCCTGATTTGATCATTTCACAGTGCATACATGTATTGAAACATCACATGTGTCCCGTGAAAGAAATAAAATAAAACTTAAAAAAAAAAAATACTAACCTTTAAAGTGTGTTTGATATGCTTTTATGGATTTCATTTATTCCTATTCCTCACTGAAACAGAGAGAGAGAGAAGATGTGTGTATGTGTTTTATTCAGAAATATCCAATATTATTCTTCATTTTAGCAACAGACACGGATGGAGGAGAAGAGCAAAATCATTCGATCTTGAATTTGTTTGGTCTTTACCCCATAAATAATGGGGTTGAGCATAGGGGGCACCACCACATAGAGGTTGGCCACTAGGATGTGGATGTGGAGAGGGACAGTTTTACCTCCAAAGCGGTGGGCAAAAAATGAAAAGAATGCTGGGGTGTAGAACAGAAGCATGACACAGATGTGGGAGCCGCATGTGTTGAGGGCCTTGAATCTGGCAGCCCAGGAAGGAATCTGAAACACTGTGAAAAGGATCATTGTGTAGGATATAATGATGAATGCTATGTCCAATCCTGTAGAGAGAAGGGCCACTGTTAGGCCATAAATGATGTTTACACTGATATTGTCACATGCCAATCTGGCAATGCCCATGTGCTCACAGTAGGAATGGGGAATGATGTTTCTTCCACAATATGTAAGTCGGTGTACCAGGAAGATGAATGGACAGCAAATGAAAAAGCTCCTGACCACAGCTGCTATGCCAGTCTTCCAAATGACCGAGGTGGTGAGGATGGTGGTATATCTCAGTGGATGACAGATGGCCACATAGCGGTCGAATGCCATGGCCAGGAGAATAGCAGATTCTGCCACAAAGATGAAATGAATGAAGAACATCTGAGACACACAGCTATCAAAGGATATACTCGTGAAACGGAACCAGAAGATGGCCAGCATCTTGGGGGCTGTGGCTGTGGAGAGAAGGACATCTGCAGAGGCAAGCATGGAAAGGAAGAGATGCATGGGCTCATGGAGACTGAGCTCAGTCACGATCAGGAAGATCAGGAAGATATTGCCCACAACAGCCACAATGTACATAGAACAGATAGGGATGGAGATCCAGGCATGCAAGTCTTCCAGTCCTGGAATTCCAGTCAGGACATACCACACATCCTTGGAATTTGTGTGATTGTAAAAGGCAGGAGCCATCTGAGATGTACGTTACAGACCTAGTACCTTTAATACAAGACCACAGGGCTGAGGACTCAGGAGGACCACATTGGACCAAATGAGGTGTGATCAGATTTTTTTCTTTCTTATACTTTCTTCTGTGTGAAAAGACAGTAAGATAAATCAACTAGCCTAAAACTCTACTTCTTTTATTGACTAATTCATTCTTGCATCTTGCATGTCTCACTTCTAAGGTGCTGACCCCTCTTTCATGTTGCCCTAATTTGGCCTAACTGCTGCTTCATCTTGCTGCTTCATCTTTCCCCCTGACATAGGACCAGACAACCTCAAAATCAGCTTTCCCAGCATGGAGATATCTATACAAAAAAAGTAAGACCTTTTCAATCAAGATATTGATCATCAGTGCTTTTATGAGGAATGCCTTTATCATTAAGGGGGAAATAACATCTTCTCTACAAAAGCCGTTCTCTAAACTTTTTCAGCCTTAAAGAGGTTGTTTGTAACTTGGATGAGACATCCTGTACTTAAACAAAAGATTTATAATCAACCAAAAAATTGTACAAAAGACTAGATGTTTTAAAAACAGTAATGTCCTGGACAGGTGAACACTGACAAACTCTCTGGACTCAATCAATTATTATATGGAGCAGAATCCCATTCCGGAGTTTCAACAACTGCTAATTACACTTCAATTCACAGCACCTGGAATGATGCCCGGTTCAACAGCTCTGGGAGATATCATCATTCCTCACCTGAAGTAAATTAAAAGGACTTGCCATGCTAAATGATACTAACTTTGCTTTAGCAAAATGCTTTGTCTTAACTGTAAAAACCTGACCTATAGTTTTTGCTTTTTCTTTTAAATAAATAAAATGGGGGAGATGTGGAGTATACTATAAAGCAAATATATTTCACAGGGCCTAGTTTTTGGTCCTTTCGGGTTTAGTCTAACTTCTTAAAAGTACATATAAAATGCTGACCTTGCAAAAAATAGAAAATTTTCCGCAGGTTATATATGGTCTCTGTTGTAAGATAAAGAATTGTAACACAGCAAGGCTGCTGGTTCAAAGACAAACAAGTTACTTATTGATATGTTAAGATACTGGGAAGCTGCTCTAGGGAGAAGGAATGTTTGCTGAGGTCAAACTTTTGTGGGTGGATCACTTAAATTGCCTTAGGGAATGTCATTTTGCTTGTTTTACTAAATGTTACCAGCCTATGTTGTTAAACTATAACCCCACCTGTGTTCTCTTCCTGTGACTTCCTGGTCTGGAGAATAAATGCAGGAAGAGAACCCCAATTTGTGGTTAACTTCCCAAATGGAAGCAATGCCTTGCTCTTGAGGGTTCCAGGAGATTAACCACTTCGGGGCCTCTAACTGCTCAGAAAAGATGGGCTTTTAGTAATCCTTTGCAGCTCCATCACCCAGGGGAAGAGGCGTAACATATCTGTGGGGGGCAAAGCAACAGCACTTTACATATATTAACTTACTAAATATTCACAACAGCCTGTTGAAAAGAGCTAACAATAACCCATGTCATGTATACTGTTATTCTTCCATATGAAAAAAGAAAAAAAAATCCTACAGACTTTCAGCCTCTTTCTCTAGGTCCTACAGGGTTCAAAGTCAGGCAAAGTAAATCTGGAAGCTCTGATCTTAACCACCATCCAATACTGCCTACCAAGACAAAACTAGATGCAAAAATACAGCATCAGATTTTTTCACTGACTATGTCCCTGAGGAAAATATATATACATTAAATTGATTTGTACTGCCCATGGAAGAAGGAGGGATTATGTTTGACAAAATTTAGATTTCAAGAAATATAGCACATATGCTCTATTCTACATTCATTGACCACTGTCTTAATGCTAACTCTATGCTAGCCATTGAGGACATGCAGGTGAATTAAATCAATCTCCATGTACCAATCAATCAATCAATTTCTCCAAACTGTCAGATGAGACATTAAAAATCTAAACTATTAGCAATGTCAAACTGAGCTGGGATCTTTTGTGTATATGGCTAGTATTATTCTATCCCGCTTAGATCACTAATTGAACATTAAACAATACACAGTATGTGCAACTATCACCACAGCAGCAAATATCTTAATGTTTTCACATTATAAAGCAGGAGTGCATAGCCCTTCAATAAAGGGGAAGGGGAGTAATTTACTGATTACTAGTTCCAAAGGAATGTGAATAGAAGCAAGGGCAATGTTGGGTAAAAAGGTAGGTTAGAAGGTAACACTAGGATAGGGAATCTATACCTCTATCTATGTATATCTATATCTATATAGAGATATATTTATGGTAAACATGAGTGCAGATGTAATACATCCACATTACGAAATATGTGAATGCCAATTGTCTTCTATCCTCCTCCAGTCCCCATTCTCAAATAAAAGATGGCTAAAGTTCTTGTTTTTCACGACCGTACATGAGCTTAAGACATGACTACCTCTTCATTCCTTCATTCCATTGCCGTTCAGTATACTAACCATTGTACAATATAGTCTTGCAACTTGAATTCAATTTTTTATTAAGTGTTAAATATCTTGATCTCACATTTTATATAATTGAAATGTTTGTACCATTTTGTTTGAGTTACAGCTTAGAATATATAACATCCACATGGTCAGCCAATTTGGCCTTGCATTGGCATACAATTTTTAAAAAATATTGTAATAAAATATTAAGGTCTTTAAGTCTGTGGATCTATTTTGTTTACATAAAACTACTGTTTAATCATTTAACATATAGCTGACATTGAATATTTTTAAGTGGGATTTTGATGTTTCAAAGGGAGAAACAGAGAATTAATTCTGAAGCATGCCTGACACAGAGCTATTCAAGAGCCATGCATGTATGTGAAGAGTAATCACGGGGTGAAGGATAGGGTTGCAGTGAGTCAGGACATTAGGGTTGGGGAAAAGAGACTCTAAGTGAAGGAAACACAGAAATGGAGGTAAGAGGGGAAAAAACCAAAATTTTGAAGGTTTTCTTTTAACTTTGCTAGGTATCTTTTGGGACATGATATTTTGTTTTATTTTTCACTGTAACATTATCACCTGTGATAACCCAAATGATAGGTCTGGGCTCCATGTATCATTATTCTATGATATTATTGATGGCATAGTCTGACTATATTATGAATATATGCACAGAAGCAGTATGGGGTAACAGAAACAGTGTGGTTCTAGGGACATATATAACTGGATTTAAATCCAGGCTAAATCATATTCTAGCTGAATGGGCCTGGGAAAGTTACTTAATTTGAATGTTAGTCTTCTAGCTTGTAAAATACCTAAAAATAAGTATCAATTAAAATTCCAGTGAATTCTGATGGTAGCATTTAGGAAGGTAGCTGAATAAATCAGATATATTTTTATACCCAAAACGGATGATATTAAGGGACTTGTAAAATTGTCATCTTTAAAATCAGAATAATTGCTGCTTTGAGCAAGTTTAACTTTCTAGACTTCAGGCTTATGATTTGCTATAGTGAGACTGAATTGGTTCAGGGTAGTCATAAAAACAAGACATTTTATTATACAGGTCACATGATATCAATTGGTAATTTTCACCCTGAATCTGTCATTTTACTTTTATAAGGTATTGACAGTTCAGCATACTGATGACCACAAAGGTTTTGAAACGGAATTTCATTCCTGCCCTACCGCCAATGCATCATCATTGTTACATAGAGAAAAAAGTTAAAATATTAGTTTCAGCTTTTTAATCTGTTCCTAGTTTAGCACCTGATGAATACTCAGTAAATTTTATAGAAAAAAAATGCATGCATGTACATATGTGTGTGTATATGTGTATGTGTGTGTGTGTGTATACAAATTATTCTTAACTATTAAAACTGTTTAATCATTGAGCCTTGTTTTTAACTACTGAGATATCATTTTTTTGTATCTATGCATAACATTCAGATCTGCATATCAAAGATGATCATTGTGTAAACATATTCTCAACAGAAAAAAAGTTATTTTTACAGATGAATGAATTAATTAAAAAAACAAAAAGATAATGCAGTGGCAGATCAACTCCAGCTAAAGCCAAGTCCAGTACCCCATAGATCAGAACTGAGGAAAATGTGAGATGATTAAGCTCTTGGAAGAATAAGCAGCTTCTGCAGTTTGCTGATAGTTTTTTTCTGGTATCATTTTCTACATGACTTCATTAAGTATAACTTAGTCTACTTACTTGTATTTTTTCAGGATCCTGAAGATATTTAACCAGTTGAGAGAAGAAAGATTAAAATCAAGGAGATGTCCAAAACACAGATAGAAAATCTAGAACTGTCTATTTGTACCACTTTCTAGGCATCTCTTGGGCCCAATATTTTCAGCCCCAGAGGATTGAATCTTATTTCTCCTATGCAAGGAGATGACTCAGAGTTGGTTCTGGTATTTATTCCACAGGAAGAACTATCCTTGCTTTTATTTCTTCTCTAATTTGTGCAACTTTTTCTCTGGCTGTCACTCTCAGACACCCAAGTTAACACGTACAACTACATATCCAGGTCTTCTTTGCATGTCCGACTCATACTATTGCAGGCATATCCTGTTCCCATTTTGTCATCTGCAAATATAGTTGTCTGTTCCATATATGGGAGGATTTTATGCTTGTTAGAAGGCTCCTAAAAGTAGATTATCTCATTTGTTTTCTTTGACATGTTAAAGCTCCTTGTCCTGCCTTTTCTTCTATTGGTCACGCAGTAAGACTGATCAGCATCAGAAGGGTCCAGAAATGACTGTCATCTACTCTAGAGATTCCTTTCAGCCTTTGGAAAACATTTTAATGAGGGATACAGATAGAAGAAAAAAGAGATAAAGACAAGTTCTATGGTATTTATGAGAAGTGAAACTGATTCCATGTAGATGAGTTAAGCTGGAAGATATTTTCTCATTAACTTCCCTCAAGTGGAATCATCCAAATATTTGTGATTTTCTGGTATTTATTAAGGACTCCCTAAAAACTTTTTCACCCATATTAGTAGAACT